TTTTTTTTCCCAAAACGATAGACATGTCGCACATGGTTTGCATAATTGAAATTAGAACATAGTTCAGATCATCATGACTTTCTGTGTGAATGAGAATCTTTTCGCAAAATTACTTAATTGAAATTTGACCTAATTTGTGCGCCCAAATTTTCCTTTGAGGGCTAAAAATTGATGTTACCCACACATTTATTCATAAATAAATTGGTCTAAAGGTAAATGATAAAGTAAAAAGACAATTGATAATAATTTGAAAACTATACAAACCGAAGTACTTGCTAATATTTCAAAACCTACATATGACTGCACTAGTTGTTCAATATAAATCCACGTGAAAATTATTTTGTTTTGACTCAAATTAGTAGTAGAGTCGAACTAACCTATATTATAAATTTTGTTGTTATATGACGTCATTATTATTTATAAAAGTTATAAAAGTTGTACGTCTTTTTTCTCAATTTATTTTATATAATGAAAAATATTTAATGCATGTTACCATTATTTATTTATGTAATCAATTAGAAATATGTCAATAAATTTAAAATTAAATAGCCTATAAATATTTTACAAAATATACACACATGTTTTTTTAGAATTTAATTTTGTATACTAAATTAAACAACTTTGAATTACCAAATGTCAAAAACTCAATCCCTTCTATAATCAAGATTTTTCTAATTTGCATTATAAAGATTAATAGTTTATTTAGCATACTCTACAATGAAAATATATTTTGCCAAAATCTCATTATAAAAGAAATAAAAATAAATAATAATAATAATAATAATAATAAAATAATCATGATTGTCAATAATATAAAAATAAATTCTAAAGAACAATAAATATATTTCAGTTTAAATTTTTTACTATTAATAAAACTATTTAATGTACATGGTCATTATCTTTTAAATGGTAAATTATATTAATTTGAACAATAATTTATTTTTTATATATAATGAAATAAAGCTCAAGAAAAAAATTATATTGACAAAGATTAATTCACCAACTTGATTTCACATGATTGGTTGGAAAAAAAAAAATTATACCTAACCTGTTACAATTTTCTAAATATTTTTGGATAAAAGTTACTATTTGTGAAAAAAAAAAGAATATTATGATTAAAACTTAAAATATGTTGTAATATTTATTTTGACCAAAATATTAACAACATGAATCATAAAAAATGAATCTTGTAATTTATTATAATGGATAACAATGAAATTATTCCATATATTAATAAAATTATTAAAAGAAACAATATTTTAGATCATATCTGATTTAATTTTATTTAAAATGTGTAAATAAAATAATCAATGCATATATTAAAAAAGTTTTTAAGAAAATACGTGCATTAAATGTTCCCAATTTTTTTTTACTACTGTTTTAATAAATGATTATTCTTATTATAAATATATATATAGATAGATTGGGTGGTAATAATGATTAAAAAAAAAGAAAATTAGAAGAAAAAAAAAAAGTCTGAGAAAAAAAGTACCTTGCTAAATAGTACTGATTAGTGCTTAGCATGCGTAAATGATTAAGAATATTTTAATATTCTATTCTATTAATTAACAATTATCTATTAATTAAATAAAGTTCTTTTGTAAATAATGTCGGGCCGATGGCCAAATATGTGAAATAATGCCCTTAATATTTTTCTTTTCGACAAAAGATAGACTGTTAAAAACTTTTTTTCATTTTCATTAAATAAGTATAAAGTTATTTAGAAAAAAAATAAAAATAAAAATGATAGCTAAATTTCATCCATCAAATCTAAGCAACTTAATAAATCAACAACAACATACTCATTATTTTCCCAACAGCTGAGTTGGGGTCTTGGGGTCAGTTGTACGCAGACCTTACCCTTGTAATTATACAAGGAGGTTGTTTCCATAGCGACCCAAGATGCGTTGCGTTGTTTGATATATTTTTATTTCTAGAAACTTCACTAATAGAAGAAACACTAGAATTTAATTGAACCATTTTGATCTAGTCCATATAGATAAAGGGAGGAGGAGGAGGAGGCAATCAAAGTCTCAAACTATCTTTTTTTTTTTTTTTTGCC